GCAAAAGGCCACTCTTAATACAGGGCAAAGGTGGGTCCCTGGTTCCTCTGGCTAAGCTGTGTCCTTTCACAGGTTCAGGGTAGTTCTTTGCTCAGACAAGTCAACCCTAGGCCCTAGTCTGTTCCTAGACTTGGGATCTGGGTGGAGACCCTGCTCAGTGTACTTGTTTGCATACTCTGTCCACTTTTTCTGTTTATGACAGGAGGCCAGCATCAGACAGACACATCTTTCCTGTTGACAAAATTGTCCATAGTGCTGGTGCATTGGGTGGCTGAGATTCAACATGGCTTTCTGCTTGAGTGAGAGAAACTGGGTCTGCTCCCTTGCATACTACCAGCCCTGGCCTGTCATCAATGGGGTTCCCTCTGCTGTGAGCTCCTCCAGCAGCGGTGCTACAGAACAGTTGTGCTCTGTGTCAGGTCTGTGTGTGCCGACTGCATTCACCAGCATTGCACCATTTTTGTCACATAGGGAAAGTGAAGAAGGAGCTGGACCATGATGATAGCCACTTGAACTTGGATGAGACAACCAGGCTCCTGCAGGACTTGCACGAAGCACAGGCAGAGAGAGGAGGCTCCCGGCCGTCCTCCAACCTGAGCTCTCTGTCCACCGCCTCTGAGAGGGAGCAGCACCCTCCAGGTAAGGGCCTCACAGGGGCGAGTAGAGGAGCCTGCATGGCCAAGATGGTGGCCTCCACACAGGGGTTTATTCTGAGAGGTCTACATCCTTGTGCATCTGTAGGGCCAGGACATTTTGTTTTTTATTGTAATTTGTTACCACCTGTCTTCTACCACTCCATATTTTATTCTTTGACTGTATTAATCAATGGAATGTTCATTTTCTATTGGGAGAACATGTAACCGTCCCTGGTGAGGGGTTTCTGTGTTTAAGGAGAGATGAGCCATACCACTAACACTCTAAGTGTCCTAGCTACATGTAGGAGCTCAGGTGTTGGCTCTGTAGTTCCTTGAAAATGCTTGAGCCTGTTGTATGAGTTTCCCCAGATGTGGCACTGACAGCAGCCCAAGGAGACAATTTTACCCAAGTGTGTCTTGGTGAACCAGTGAGTTTATTGGAGTTATTTTTAGGAACATAGGTAAGTCATTCCTTTTGTCTCTCCTTCCATGATGTTCCTTAAGCCTTGGAGTGTGTAAATATGATTATTTTCCTCCATCTGTGACAGATCATTGGACCACTACGCCATATTAATAGTCTTTTTTTATTCTTAAGAACTGAGGCTGACAGTAATAGTGCTCTATGGGCATAAACACAGATGTTTCAAAGGCAGATTAACAGGCATATCATATCCATTTAACAAAGCAATAGTGGTTGCTTCCCTATTGAGACCTGTGACCTCCCCAGACACAGCGTTTGCCCTGGATTACAGTACTTTATGTGCGTTTCTTCCTGTGTTAATTCAGTCAGAAGGTGGGTTGTATTACAGTACTTTATGTGTGTTTCTTCCTGTGTTAATTCAGTCAGAAAGTGGGTTCTTGTACATAAGTCATGTCACTATTCTGTCACTGGTTACACCTGGTGTCTTAGTTACTGTCCTGTTGTTGTGAGGAGACACATGACCAATGAAACATAAAATAAAGCATTTAAAGTGCCAGGCATAGTAGCACTCACCTTTAATTCCAGTACTCAGGAGGCAGAGGCAAGTGGATCTCCATGAGTTCAAGGCAGCATGATCTTTGTGGTGAGTTCCAGGATAGCCAGGGCTACACAGAGAAACTCTGTCTCAAAGGAAAAAAAAAAAATTAGTTGGGGGCTTGCTTACAGTTTCAGAGAATTAGTCTATGATCATCGTGGCAGGGAGTGTGGTGGAGGCGGGCAGGTAGTCATGGCACTGGATCAGTAGCTAAGAGTTTACATCTTCACCCATAGGCAGCAAGCCGAAAGAAAGAGACACTGGGCCTGGCATGGGCTTTTGAAACCTCAGCTCCTAGTGACACACCTCCTCCGACCAGGCCACACCTAATCCTTCACATAGTTCCACTGAGGACCAAACATTCAAACATATGAGCCTATGGGGACCATTCTCATTCAAACTACCACACGTAGCATGTTGGTAATGTGGTTGACAGAGTTCGTAACCAAGCAAGACTGTTGATGACAGTTATCCCCAAGTAGTAGCTAACCTAACACCATCTAGCGCAATGAAAACCACAGCAGGAAGAGAGCTTGTAGCTCAGTCTCAGCCTGATTTCTCCATTACACAGCCACAGTGTGTGTGTCATCAACAGTGGATAGAGAGTACTGTCTCATTCTGGATGCAGCTTACAGCAGCACAGTGATGATGCCTTTGTGGTCTGAGGAGCCTCAGGGGTCTCCTCTCCAACAACTCTGGTGTCTCACCTAACAGCCTTGTGGTTTCTGTCCTAGTTAGTCTTTCTGCTGCTGTGATAAAACACTAGCAACAACTTGGTAATGACATTACTTACTTCATCTTAAACTTCACAACAGCAAGAGAAGCCAGGGCAGGAGCTCAAGGTAGGAATCTAGAGGCAGGAATGAAGCAGAGGCCATGGAGGAATGCTACTGACTGGCTTGCTTTTTCTGGCTTTCTCAGCCACCTTTCTAATACAGCCAGGCCCACCTGCCCAGGGTTGATAGCACAGTAGGCTGGACCTTCCTGCATCAGTTAGCAGTGAAGAAAATGCCCCACAGACATGCTCACAAAGCCAGTCAAAGTTCCTTCTTCCCAAGTGACTCACAGGAACCAGCCTTCATTCAGACTCTTAACTTTGCTGCTTTCACCTTCTAGGTGCTTTTCCAAGTCTGTGAGACACTCAGCCATTACATAATGAACCTTTTTACAGAGAAGGACCAAGATCTTTGAAGACCTACCACAGTCCACTCCAAACAGTTCCCAGGGATCTTGGATGGCTAAAGAGCAACTGAAAAGGAAACATTAGTATAACACAACCTCATCCATTATGTTGTTTCACCAAAACAGTGTGGGGGCAGCATGGACGGAGACACTGTCCATCTAGACCTCCACAGACAGTTGTTTTCCATGGGCTGTCAGCCCTTGTCCTGGAGCACTGCTGCCGTCATGGGCCCCACATAGTCTTGGTTGGGCCAGCCTGTGTTGCTCACTCTGGCATAAGACCAAGGGAATCAGGGCTGCACTCTTGCCTGCCATGCCTGCCACTGGAACTAGATACCTAAGTTATGACAGGCTCTGAGCTAGCGCCACAGCTCTTGTCTTTCCATTGGCCATACTTGACTGTTGAAAGGACCAGATCTGGGTTAAAAAACCAGAAAGAAACCCCCACCCCAAGTATACTTTGTTGTAGGGAGAAATACACACCATAACCTCTGGGGGATAATTGCCCATCCCTAGGATAGCTTAATTTTTTTCATTTGAAGTTTTATCTTCTATGAACTGTTGCTTAGGCTTTAAAGCCTTCCGGCAGCTTACTAACATAGCGTTTGGCTTTCTGTTGGTTTTTTTCCTTGTGAATTCTGGCTTGACACAAATCTTACCCTGTTTGCCTTTGAGTGACTAGATAGACTCCTTTGTTTGCTTTTCCTTTTTCCCATCACCTCTTGATTGCTTTTGCGCTTCAAAATATACATGCTGATACAAGTCATTGACATCCAGCAGAACCTCTTCTTCCCACATGGGCCCCATCCCATCATAGGACTCAGCAAAGCCATTATAGCTGCATATCAATCCTGAGATCTCTGCTCAATCAATGTGATCTCTGTGAATGCGTTACAGTTCAGTCTGGTGAACACTGCCTCTTGCATGCTAGTTTCTTCAGTAATGTCTGTCTTCTCTGTGGTCCTCTAGTCCCTGATATTTGTGGGAACTTCAGCTAAAGATAACCAAGTCTACCTGATAGAGCAAATGCGCTCAGCCTTTAGGGGCTCCTTTCCTTTGCCTCCACTGCCCTTTGTTCTCTTTTGACCTCACATGCATCCTGAAGTATTCTGTGCACAGAATGAATCCTGATCCTTTCAAAGGAAGCCTGGCTGCAGCTGCTGGAAAAAAGACTAAGATTTTTTTATTCTGATCACCTTGTATATCAAGCCAAGTAGAGCCTGAGGAGGTTGCAGGCATCCCAGATTCAGATTGGGATACGAATGCACCTGTGTCTGGTGCCAGGGAGGACATTTCTCTTTTTAGATATCAGTCACAGATGTTGGTTTTATAAGCTTTGCAGATCTGTTTGATGTGCTTAAATGCTGTGTTCTTTTAAACCTACAGGAAGTCCTTCTCGCCTTAGTGTTGGGGAGCAGCCGGATGTCACCCATGACCCTTACGAATTCCTTCAGTCTCCAGAACCTGCAGCTTCTGCCAAGAACTAACTTGTGGACTTTCTAGATGTTTTATTTTTTTTTTCCTAAGTTTTATTTGATACACAGTTTTTGTCACAAAACAGAAACTTTTGTCTCATCCTCTCTGGCATGTAGCAGCCTGAGGAAGATGGTGGCCTGTCTATACTGTTATGTCCACAGTAGAGGCCCAGCAGCACCGAGTGGTGTCCCTTAAGTTCTGAGCAGTGACAATAGAACATAACAAGGGTTGGTCTCTTCTGAGCCCCAGAAACCAAACTTGTTTATGATAATGTGCACAAAGTCATTCTACATGAGTCCTGCACAGCTGTCTTGCAGTTCTCTAAGGGGAACTTGCAGAACAGGCCTTCAGAGGGTAGCTTCTGTTTTCTCTTTGGTCACTTGAGGATGGAGTTGTCTCCATGAAAAATAATGAACCACCCCACATTTTAGAATGAAGTATTCAGAGCCATAAAATGTTTAAAAACTGGATGTATTTGCTGAGTACCTGTTTGTATTTGCAAAATACATGAACACGGGTCCTAATAAAGAGATGCCTAAGGTGACTCTATCATCATCTTGTCTGATGTGATGGTGGGGACACCTGTTGTATCCTGTAGGCCAGTTGGGCATCCTGCTTCTTTTCAGGAATAAAAAAGCAAAGAAGACACCACCTTCACAGGCCAGCTGCAGATGGACATTAAGTTTTGAGGGGAGAAGGGCTGTGGCTGGAGGGGTATAGTAGGTGGCATTCCTGGTATAGGCAAGCAGGGCTGGAAGCAACCGTGGTCTATGGGAGTCCTTGAGATTTGCCACAGTCATTGGGAAAGGACAGAAAACATCTCACCTCTGGATTTAAGTATTAGTTAAATGATTGCAGCTGAGTCTGATCTGAGCCAGGAGCAGCACTTGTTAAAGACTGCCTGCTTCCTGGGACCAATGTCAATGTCCCTTGGCCTTGAGACTGCCACCTCTCTGTTTAGGCTAACTCAGCTCTAGACCAGTGCTCCCATGGAGGGAGACTAGGAAGGTTTACTCTGGGTCTGCAACATCATGTGATGGCACTGCTCTGCTCCAGTCTCCGAGAGGCTCCCAAGCCTAGGCAGTTCTGCAGCATGACTGAGTGGCAACCTCCTAGGAACAGAGATTTTCTTCAGGGCCTTTCTCACTGGCACACTGCCCTAGGTCTTCTACACATGACCAGTGTGGCCTCAGTGTAGTAAGCTAGAATGGGAGCATGGGCTAGCAAAGGGCATTTGGGCTGCACTCTGGAGGTCCATGTTCTGTGGTCCCACAGTAGGAGGACTACACATGAGCCTTGAGAGATGCTGTTGTTTCCTGGGTCTCAAGCCTGAGGTACAAGTAGAGCCATGAGCACACAGACTGTTTTTGACAGTTGGACATTCAGCCATCTTTTCAGAGGAAAGGAAGAGAACCCGGTGCCTTCACTGTCGAAAGACCTTTTATCTTTAATTGGTGGCGTTAACACCATAAATCTAAACCATTTACCAGTTATATTATATAACATTTGGTACATTTGTGTTATTACGCAGTCACTACCCCATTAAGTTTCAGGACATTTCCATCACCCTATAAAGGAACTCCATGCTCACTGAGGTCACCAGCTCATTCTCTGGATTTGCCAGTTCTGGGTATTCCACAGTAGTAGGATCTTATATTTGCCTCTCACTGTTTTATCTTGGAGTCCAACCTTACTTAGGTGACCTCTCCTCACCAGATACTGCAGCTTAGCCACTGTTCAATACTGGGTACTGGGGAGGCCCTGGAAGCCAGACATTTCTGGCCAAACCAGAAACTCATAACAGCTGACTAGGTAGGGTACAGGGTGAATCTTCACCCTCGCTGACTGGATGTCACCCATAGGCTTGCCCTGTACCTGCTTCTCACTCCTGGGAAACCATCAACATCTCAGGAAAGGAAAGGTGAGATCAAGGTGTAAGACAGAAAGATAGTTGAAACCCACTTTGCATCTCTTTTAGATTGGAATTTGTGTGTTTGTGTGTGTGTGTGTGTGTATTTGATTCATATATATTCATGAAATCTCACAGGTCAAATGGAAGGTGTGTGTGCAGATGAGAGTTATACAGATGAAGGTGTGTGCAGGTGAAGGTATGTATATGTATGTGTACATGCAGGTAGGGATAAGTATTGGAAGTTTTACCAAGACTAATTTCCAGCCCTGCAGAGAGGTTGTGAATACATCCTGAGAGCCACACAATAATGTGAGGGGAGATGCATTCTGGGAGGCTTACTGTCAACCTTGAGAATCCAGCAGCCCCCAGCCCCAGACTGACCAAAGCAGAGATTCTGAATCCCAAGAGTTACAGTTGGTGCCACACCATACCAGACTGGTTCTTAACCTACTCTGCCCAGTGTCTTCAGTACGTTACAGTCTCTTAATAATGTGCTTCCCATACACTTTGGACAGTGGCTTCAGGTTAGACTGTAGACCCTGGGTACCTGGCAGCAGAGCCAGATACAGCAGCCTTCAGCCACCAACAACATCCTGCCTGCAAGTGGCTTTCTGGTGGTGATGCATGCTACCTTAGAGGTGGCTGTGGATGGAAAGGGATGTATCCCGTCGATCCCATCTCAGTCTCAGGGGTGCATCAGCAGGGAGCATCCACATCATTTTAGGAGTCCACAAATAGAAACTGGACCTTTCTTAAGCTAAAATTTGAGACACTGAGGGAAAAGACTTAAGAAGTATTGTGTTTGGAAATTTTCAGAAGAGCATGGGGCTTCAACTCACCACTCAGAATCCATAGTCTAAGAAACATCACTGGGCCATCCAGACCTATGGCCACCAGAGAGGAGTAGGCTGCAAGCATAAGTGGTCAGGCTCAGAGTTTTGTGTTTCTCCATGAAACGTGTGCCCCTCGGCTTCTACAGCAGAAAATGATGGGGATCAAGTGTGAAGAAGTTGGAGTTGGAAGTGCATATCAGAGAGGCCCCCCCACAAGCTGATGGCCTTCGTTAAGAGATTACAATAGTTTTCTAGTCAAAAATTAGAACCAAGTAAAACCAATTCAGGTGTAGGTGGTGAAGCTGGGCTCTGTCTTCAGAGTCCCATCTACCACGCTACCCATTTTTCTCCCACCTCTGTTCTGTCCCCCAGCCAGCATCAGGTAGTCTCCTTGGTTGCAGGGGCTGTGGCTTTATGAGCTGTGGAACCTTCCTTTGTGAGGTGTTCCGTATCTGCTTTGTATGTGGGAAGGTCCCGCCACTGTTTAATGAGTCGACACTGAGCAGGAAGTGTCTGATCTTTGCTGCTCAACATGCTGAGAGAGGTGAGAAGGCAGAGTAGACAATGGCCGTGGGCAGTGGGGTTTCACCTCGTAGCTCTCTGGATCAGGGCCTCACAGATAGAGATTCAGCCCATCAGAGACCCCAGCTATCATGGGACCTGTTTGGTTTCTGGAGCTGGCAGGATTTCTGTCTGATGAACCTCTCCACGGGGACATACAATGAGATGTCCAAAACTGGGAAGGCTCCTCCTGAGAAATGAGGGTACTGATGGGAAATCATGAACAGGATGGGTGAATAACAGTAGTGTTGGACAGTTCAAAGAGAATTATGGGAGGCACCTAAGGCCGGATGTAAGGACAGAATTCATGACTGTGAGTAACACATGCAGGAAGCTCTGGAAATGTTGGTTGTAGCTGTGTTAGCCATGGCAGAGTCCCACACTGAAACCTACATGAAAGTGGGGGTATAGAAGCAAGAGACCTGAGCCAAAATAGTCACAGATGCTAGAAGCTCCCAGCACCACTGATTCTTGAATCTGAAATCACAGCTCACCAGACTTTGCTGTTGATTGTTTTCCCTTTTGAGTGGCCCACCACCTAGCTCCCAAATAAATCACACACAGAGACCTTTTCATAGTTATAAATGCCCGGCCTTAGCTTTGGCTTGTTTCTAGCCAGCTTTTCTTAACTTTAAATTATCCCTTCTACCTTTTGCTGCTGGGCTTTTTCCCGTTCTCTTACTTCTGTAATCTTTCACTCTTACTCCACAGCTGCTGTGTAGCTGGGTGACTGGCTCCTGAAGTCCTCCTCCTTCTCTAACTACTTCTTTTTTCCTCCCAGATTTTTCCTTCTATCTATTCTCTCTGCCTGCCAGCCCTGCCTATCCTTTCTCCTGCCTTGCTGTTGGCCATTCAGTTCTTTATTAGACCATCAGATGTTTTAGATAGGCACAGTATTCACAGAGTTAAACAAATGCAACATAAACAGAAGTAATACACCTTAAAATAATATTCCTCAGTGAGGGTCACAGACATCCTTAGTCTTCAAATTTTGAGAGGATCAATCATGCTCTTATGAAATGAGTGAATGAAGGGACTCCAGTTCAGATGGTGGGGTGCCACTCTGAGGGAGGCAAGCTGGGGTATTGGCAAGTATCACAGGCAGAATATGGACAGATGCCTGGCAGAAGAGACAGTGTGGGCATGCCAGGTAGCAAGAGGAGGACTCCAGATGTCCTAAGAGCTGTGTGATGCACATGTTTGATGTGGGGAGTAGTGTCCTGTGTGTGTTGAGCTGTATGTTCTATGTGTGGTGTGTAGCTTTGGGTGGTATGTATGGTTCAAGAATGTTCTTACACAGCAACAATATCAAAGTTGAACTTTGGGCCTGTTAGGAAGATGAGGACTCACTTTGTTGGCTCACTGCCTGGGCCCTTTCCTGTAAGATCAGTCTACTGTGCTTTTCCCCTTGTCCCAGCCCCCTTTCTAACATTGTCCCTTCATAGCAGCACCTTTCTAGGAGGAGTATACTGGGCAGTAAGGTCCTAGGGAAATGAATGAATTTGAGTTCTTGTATAGGATGGCCTCAGTGTTGTTTTCTTTATGTATTTTCTGATATTTGTCACTTGAACATTCAGGACAGAATTGTGTCAAGGAGAGAGGTGGGGCTCTAGCCTATCTGACCCAACAACCAGGGGTCTATTCATGAATAACTGTGCCCACAGAGATGGAGTGGACATATCTAGCCTTGTGCCCACTATTTGGGGGGGGGGGGTGCTGCAAATCTACCTGTCATGTCAGGGATCTCCTTCTAAGCCTAGTCAGCCATACCAACCTGCCATACAGATATCAGCTTTTGGTCCAGGTCCTGGTGACCCCCCTGACAATGGCAAGTGGTATTGCAGGCCACTCATTCTATGCACAGGGACAGACAGCTTTTTGCTCTTTCTGTCTCTCAGATGAACGTCTGTGGCATGAACCGGAACCGGGTCCTCCCAGAAACCCAGGCCAACAATATGAAGAAGATACTACCACGCCCTTTGTCCAGGGTGAATGGCTGGTCACCACCCCTCCACTCCTTCCAGGCAATAACCTGGACCACCTATCTGGCCATGTCCATTGTCACCTTTGGGATCTTCATACCCTTTCTACAAACTAGCTGGAAATATGCTGCCTATGTTGTATCCTTTGTGCTAGTGGGGTGGGGTCCTGGGCTGCCTGCCTCTTGGAGGTGGAGGGGCTTCTGAATGTCTTCAAGAACCCCATCATGCCTAGACCACTCGTTTCTGTGGCCCTGAAGTCAGTCCTGCCACTCCACATTCCTGATAGAAGGGGCTTTTGCTACTGTGAATATAGAATCTGCTAGATACAAAGTGACAGTAGGGGCCTGGAAGTGGTGACCCAAGGAAAGGGAAGCAGCTGCAGACTCCAGTCATATTATCTTTCTTACAGTGCACAGAGAGGCCCCTCTCTGTTGACTCAGAGTAGCTAGATCAATAACAAAAGGACTTTAGGTTGCCGGGCGTTGGTGGCGCACGCCTTTAATCCCAGCACTCGGGAGGCAGAGCCAGGTGGATCTCTGTGAGTTCGAGGCCAGCCTGGGCTACCAAGTGAGCTCCAGGAAAGGCGCAAAGCTACACGGAGAAACCCTGTCTCGAAAAACCAAAAAAAAAAAAAAACAAAAAAAACAAAAGGACTTTAGAAGCATATGCTTGGCTGCCTCCAGCCCACATCCTGCCAATGTGTTTGTATAGCCCTATAGAGTCTAGGCCTAAGGCATGGAAAGGCCTTTAGGGAAGTGGGAAGTCCATATACTGACTTCTTTGTGGTATGGTGTATATCAGGGTGGCCATTTGGGATCTAGCATCACACTTAGCATCTCATCAGAGAAACCAAGTCCTTACGCGAGGGTCCACATTAGAGCCAGTGCCAATCTGCTGCAAAGTGGGCCTGTGCCCAGAAAATACATCCACAAGCCATAGGCGAGCCCTGGATGAACATCTTGGTGAGAACATAATCTGGCTGTAGGCTCTAAGGGGCACTTTGCTTTGACTGACATTCTGCAGGCCCTGGAGTCAGGAGAACTAGGCAAATATGAGTAGTGGTTAGGAAGGAGGGAGTACAATACACAGGATTGAGTAACTGTTACAAGAGCCAGACCAGATACTGTGATTTCTTGGGGGCTGCTTTGCTGAGACTGGGTATGGCAGTATCTCACAGTTACCCACTTCAGTAGTCAGGCCTGGCTAGTTTTCCATTTTTCATATGCATGTTCAGGGGATATTCTCTAAAAACCTCAGATGTCATAAACTATCACCTGTAAATGCTGTGGTCGATATCAGAGCCTGGCTTTTATGCTCATAACCACCATGCTATCATCTTCCAGGAAAAGCATCTATCACTCATTTCCCAGTGTCCTTATTACCAGCACCCCTATTTTCTTTATTATTTTATAGTGAGTCCTGGGGATTGAACCCAGAGCTCTCACTGTTCCACAGCTTGTAGTGGCAGCACTCTGAAACTTCCTGCAGTGTGGCACCTCTAGGCCTTTGGTTGAAGAAACTGGGGCAGAATATCTCCCAATGTAGCGATGGCTGATTCTTTTCTTCTCAGTGGTAGAGGTTTATCTGTGGGAAGGCTCTTGATAATGAATTCAATGTAACAGGTAAAAAGTTATTCAAATTTTCTGTTTCATCTTATGTTCATTTTAGCAAGTTATGTTTTTCATGAAATTTGAATATTTCTTCTAAAATGTCAAATTTCTTGGATACAGTTATTCACAATATTGCCTATGCTTTTCATTTCATCTCTGAAGGACACAAATGTATTTTGGACAGGTTTTTCTGTATAACCCAGTCTGGCTATGAACTTGTGATGCTCCAGACTCAGCCTCTCAAGGGTTAGATGTGTGCTTCACCACTACATCTGGCTTCAGGACATGTAGTAACGTATCTTCTTTGACTTCCCGTCTTCCTGTCTTCCTGTCTTTCTTCCTTCCTTCCTTCCTTCCTTCCTTCCTTCCTTCCTTCCTTCCTTCCTTCCTGCCTGCCTGCCTGCCTGCCTGCCTGCCTTCCTGCCTTCCTGCCTTCCTGCCTTCCTGCCTTCCTGCCTTCCTTCTTGCCTTCCTCCCTCCCTCCCTCCCTCCCTTCCTTCCTTCCTTCCTTCCTTCCTTCCTTCCTTCCTTCCTTCCTG